CTCTAAACCTGGGTAGAATCATGTGGCATGTATAGCACTGTGTGTCTGGTCTATTGCTCAGAGCTACGTCTGTAGTCCTTGTGTGTCTGACTTGCTGCTTGGAGCTGCATCATTTCTAAATCTTAGTCCTCAGCCTTCATCCTGGAGTTTTCTAGTCCTATTACCTTTTCCCAGCCAGTTTTTGTCTTTACCTGTGACCAGCTTCTTTCCTCCTGCCATACTCCTGAGCTGTGTACATGCTGCCCAGAATCTTGTGGCTGACCGTTGCCATCTTGTGGTGTGGCTGCAGTGTAGATATTGTTACTCCTGCCAATGGGCTTCTGGGAAGTTCCCAGCAGGGGCTGTTGTGAATGGGCCTGGGGACCTGGGGGCTCCAGTTTCTTATTTCTGTGTGGATTTGCACATCTTTCGCTTCAGTGGGTGACAGTGCAAGTTTTCCACAGTGGATCTGTTCTCCCTCTGCCACCCGGGCCATGGGAGGCAGGGTTCTGCTGAGTGGGCCAGGGATCAATGTTACTCTCCTGCTGACAGGACCTTGGAGCTGCTACTATGAAAACCACAGCAGAGTGGTCTAAAACCAGGGCAGTGCCAGGCCGTGTCACTGTTTACCTTGAGTGCCAGGAAGGCCACTGGACTGTGGTATCTCTCCTTCCTTGTGGTATCTGCCCTTCTGAGGGATGGGCAGGTGAGGGAGCCTCAGTCTCCCTTGGCAGGAACAGGGAAGCCAACCTAATCCAGAGGAAATAGGAAGGCAGATGGCATTGTGGAGGGGGCGATGACCCCATGCTCCATCCTGGTGTTGATTTGGTTGCTTCTGATGGATTAATTTATTCAGAAAGATACTACGCAACACATGGTATGTGCTGAAATGCAGGAAGTTCTCTGAGGATCCCTTTTACTGCACACTGAACTGTCCTAGCTCCCCACTGTGTGAAATGTGTGTGATGCAAGTTACTGGCCCATTTTATAGGTGAAGGAACAGGGTCAGAGGCAAAGACAGCAGCAAGCAAAGGCCCAAGTGACCAGGTAAGAGGTGAGAATCACTCTGAAGACCTTGATTGTCATACCAGGAAGTGAATGGCAGTTTTTCCTTGTAATGGCTTTTCAGTGCTGTCCATGGAACCCTAAGGCTCCCCAAGATGACTCAAAGCTACTCAAGGCCAGGGCATTATGAGGGAGGCTGGGGGGGTGATGTGATGGGGTTAGGGTACACAAAGGTCAGGGAGATTCTCCCTAAGAAGATGTGATCCCTGAAAAGGAGAAAAGAGCCAGCATGGTTGGGTGGGCTGAGGCATAGGAGAGGGATGGAGAATTCTGGGCCGACAGTATAACAAGTACAAAGGCCCTGGGGCAGGAATGAGCCTGAGGAGATAAGGAGTGAGTGGTAAGAAGGGACTGTTTTGTGAGAAAGTAGAGCTGCACAGACATGGAGGACTCACCATCTGATTCCTGTGTGCAGTCAGCCGAGTACCATATTAGAAGTGACTGACTGGAGGATGGATGGGCGCAAAGGGTCAGGAGGTGAGAGAGAAGTGGGTGGGCTGTGTGTGCTTTGGAGGTGTCCCTGAACAGGTGGATTTGGCCCAAGAGGGTCCTCAGGATGGTTAGGGCCCTCACTGACACAGGAAGATTGGAGGAGGCAAACAGAACCAGCCTCAGGAAGCCAGGGGTGGCTCAAGGAAGGTCTCCAGTGAGTTGTGTGCACATTCCCAGGCTGAGCATGGAACTGTAGGAGGGACCAAGGCAAGGTGGCATGGGAAGCCCAGAGAGTAAGTAACATCTCCAGCACCAGGGTGTGGTGGGGGAGAGAAGAAGCCTTGAGGTGTATTCTTTAGGCCCGAAGCTCCCAGAGGCTGAGGCTTGGCGCCTGGGGTCAGGATGGGACCCTGCAGGTCCAGGAACTGCTTCAGGACCCCTTGGGTCCTTATCTGCTCAGGGTATGCCTCCATGTCTTAAATGGTGATTATACATTGACCTGAGACCCAGGCCCCCTCATGTTCCAAGTGGGTGGCCCTCCCAGCATGACATCACTACCCCAGATGGCCATTGCTGGGTTGCGGGGACTGGGATGGGAAAGGCCAGGAAAATGGTGGGAAGTCTGCCAGGCTCAGGCTGAAATCTGGCCCAAGGTCAAAGAACAGGAAGACCACAAAGTCCACATGAAAGCAGCCTTTGGCTTGCTGGAGGCTGGGATCACAGGGAGGGCTTTCAGGATTGGCTGGATCAAGTTGCCCATGTCACTGACCCAGTGAAGCTGAGATCTGGAGAGGAAAAGGGTAGAGGGAGAGTGAGGCTGGGGTTTCCAGTCCCCTACTTTCTCTAAGTGAGGGGATAACAACAGTACTCACTCTTGATAACTGAGCATTTGCTTATTTTGCCCTGTGCCTAGCTTGTTGCTAGCATTCAGTGCATTTGGGCTGTCACTGTTATCTTCCTTGGGCATCCATCACGTGTTGCCTGGCCAGGACCCCAGGATCTGGTGCAATCTGCTAATCCTATAAGGCAATCTTGGAAAAGCCTTGTGAAGGAGGTTATGGACCGGCAATAGAAAGAAGGTTGTATATTAGGGTTTAGATATGAAGTGACCCGCCGGAGGCATTCCTCAGTTGATGGATCATCTGCCATACATATATTGTACTCTTTTTGTTTTGACAGTATCTCTTTATGGAACCCAGGTTCAAACTTGTAATCCTCCTGCCTCAGCCTCCTGAGTGCTTGGTTTGCCTCCATGCTTGACTTGTATACTCTTATATTGTCAGTTGTGTAAAGGTTAGCCTTTTGTCTATGGAGTTTATTTCCAAAGAAAGCCTTCATTATTTTAAAATTAAGTTTTCTTTTCCTGCTAACTTTAAAGTTGTAGAATTTGTTTCTGTGAATGTTGTGTGTCTAAACATTGTATCTAGGGTCCTTTCTGATTTGGTCAGCTTTCCATTGCTGTGATAAAAGTATCTGAGATAACTTGAAGAAAGCTTTACTTTGGCCTGTGGTTTCAGAGGTCAGTCCATGGTTGGCCTCTTGCTTTGGGCCTGTGATGAAGCCGCTTGTTATGGTGGGAACACAAAGTAGAACAAACCTGCTCCCCTCATGGTAAATGAAGCAGAGATAGAGAGAAGAGGGTCCCCATCCCAACATGCCCTTCAGGGGTATCCCTCCAATGACCTAACTTCCTCCCAGTAGGCCCCAGCCCTCAGTAGTACCTGAGGCTGGCAAACTTTTAGCATATGGGCCTTTGGGGGATATTTCAGACCCACATCATAGCACCTTTCTGTCAAGTTTAAAGTCCCTTTTTATCATAAACTACATTTCCACCTGCCCATACTTCTGCTTCTGAACTCTTCTCTGGTCCATCTCTTTATTTTGATGCCCCAAACTTTAAAGTGTATTTTGATGTTAGTAGGGAAATTTCCTTTTTCATGAATTTTATTTATTATTACTTTTTTTGTGGTTTTGGGGATTGAATGTAGGACTTTTTAAACACTAACCCAGTGTTATATCCCTGAGCTCTGTTTCTGGCCCCTCTCTTTTTTATTAACATTTCATTTTGAGACAAGGTCTCAGAAAGTTTTGCTCATTCTGGCCTTGAACTTGTGATCCTTCTGCATGGCCTGCTGAGTAGCTAGGATTACAGGCATGTGCTACCAGACCTGGCTCTTTATATGGATACAGATTGCACCTTTGACTATGATTGTACTGGAGTTTTAGCTCATGTATATAAGAAACATCAAATACTCATCTCTTCTTTCAAACACTATAAAACATTTTACAAGGAATTCTAATGTTCTAATCACTACCTCCCTACCCTCCAAAAAATCTTGATTTATGACAAAGGATTTCGATCTTCTGATTGCCCTAACACTCACCCTATAAAACTTTTGGTTATGAAAGAAGGAAAAGAATCCTGGTGCATTCTAGGAATTAATAGCCTGGAAATCTGCGGAAAGCTGAGCCCTTCCCCCCTCTTTGGCCAGCTCCCCCATTTCCCTTTTCTTCCTTTGTGCAGATTTTTTTTTTCGTCTTTTTGAGACAGGGTCTCCCTGTAGCCCCAGCTGGCCTGGAACTTGCTATATAGACCAGGCTGGCCTCGAACTCACAGAGATCTGCCTGCCTCTGCCTCCCGAGTGCTGGGACTAAAGGTGTGTGCCACCACGCCTGACTCCTTTGTGCAGATTTTTAGCCAACTGGGAAAGACTATGAGGTCAGACCCCAGCCAGTGGGGAAAGACACAGTACTCTTGCATTAGGAATTAGGATAAAAACTTGTATTGTTCCCTGTTCCGTGTGCTTGCTTCTCCATCTCTCTGCTGTGAGTAGTGTATCCTTCTGATATATACATACATATATACACATACATATACACACAAACTCACATATATACATATACATATACACACATACATGTACATATACACACATATGTTTGTATGTATGTATATATGTGTGTCTATAAAGTACCCTGTTACTGAGCCACACTCTCAGCAATCTGAACTTGTGATGTTCCCTCCCTCTCTCTCCATCTCTCCTTCCTTCTGTACTCATTTTCTTCAGTGAACTTAAAAGTTCCCTGCTGAGGCCGCTGTTGCCCTGTCTCCTGTCCCATCTTGGCACTTGGATCAGGCTCCTTAGAAGCAGGACCTGAGCCAGGGGTTCTTGTGTCAGGAATGGTTCATTTAGGGACATGTCTTGGCAGAAATCATGTGAGGGTAGGGACAGGAGTGAGACAAATCAGGGGCCAGCTAAAGCCTGTGCAGTCTGGGGCTCTGGAGTGAGTGCCCCTCAGCTGTGCCCTTGGAGCTGGTCATTGGCTGTCCATTGTTCCACCCACCCTGCTGGAGGACCAAGTCTGCCCAGAGCATCAGTGCTGGGCTGGGAGGGCTGGGAATGCACAGTGGCAGTGAGTGAGAGGTTTTCCTGTCTAGGCCCTGTGTCTGGACAGTCCCAGCAGCATGTGCTGTACTTGGTGGTCCCTGACGTCTGGCCATGCCTCCCCATTGCCACCCACAGACTCCACCAAGGATCTGATTGAGACATGCTGTGCAGCTGGCCAGCAGTGGGCCATCGACAACGATGAGTGCCAGGAGATTCCAGAGAGCAGTATGGAGGGGGATACCTGCAGGTGAGCAGCCTGGAATAGACAGATCTACCCTTTTCTTCCTTGAGCCTCTCCTCACCCTGGGCCCCAGGTATATGAAGGTGACCACCTACCCAAATTGCCAGGTTATGGGACGCACAGGCTGGTGCCTAGACTCAGTTAACCATATGGATCTGTAGCTTGCCTCGTGGGTGAACTTGAAGGGTCTGCAGTTCGGAGCAAGTCTGAAGGAACATCATCACCTTGGAGGCACTGGAGCTCCCCACTCCCCGCAGCCACAGCCCTTCTGCACTCAGCCACCCTGGGGGTCCCAGAGCCGGATCATTCTCTGTCCTCTGCCGCCTGTGTGGCTGCTTCCAATGTTCATGTTCTGAGCTATGGGATCCAGTGTCATGGCTTGTGTCAGGATTGGTCAGCTGTTCATTTCATTTTCTCTAGAGACCCCATCTTTTCCTATCTATTCATTATTCAGATAAGAAAAATGAGGTTCAGAGAGGCCGTGTGATTCACCCAGAGGTACACAGCCCTCTGGGGGCATGTCCAGGTAGAACCCATATTTTCTCATGTCCAGCCCACTCTACCTTCCTCAGAGAACTTTGAATTCTTGCCTTGTCCCTCCCTTTCTTTTTTTCTACTCCACCAGGTTGGGGCTACTGAGTGGTTAGACCGTACACCATTTGGCCTTCCTGAGTTTTGAGCTTTGCAGCTGTAGTGTACACTTACACCCCTCTTGAAAGAAGGAGCTCACCACTTCATGGCCAACAGTTCCATCACCGAACAGCTGTTTCCTGGAATTGTCCCTCCCAAGTGCTGCTGAGTCCTACCTTCTATGACCCCTGCCTTGCTGTCCTAATTCATCAGCCTCCTCTTCTACAGAGTATCCATGTAGAAAGGGCAGGCAGTGGCCAGGGACCCAGCAGATCCACCTAGCCCTTTCTAAGGTTTCCCCATCTTTCCCCGGCCTGGCAGCAGGGTTCAGAATGCTAACCCTTCCCCTAGAGGTCAAGAACACAGATCTGAGGCCAGTGGGACCCAGACCCAAGTCAAACCCATGTGCTTTGTGGAGGGTTGTGCCTTATTGGCCCCACTTGCTGTGGACCTTGGTGGGGCATTCCCATCTCTATTCTATTCTCCTGTGAGATGGGGCTATCACCTTCCTGGAGAGGGTCTTGAGAGGACAGGCAGTGAGGTAGCCCCCTGTTGCAGGATAGCCCAGAGGCACTGCTGCATCTCTTACCTGAAGGAGAAGAGCTGTGTGGCCGGCGTCATGGGGGCCAAGGAGGGCGAGACCTGTGGGGCTGAAGACGATACCTGTGGTGTCTCCTTGTACAAGGCAAGTCTCACCTGGCACCTGTGCTGAGATGAGTGACACCACATCTGGAGGTGGGGCGGGGGGGTTGCTCATCACCTGCACAGGAGGTGTCATCAGTCATCATAGACAGCAAACCCACAGAGTGTACATTGAACCTTTTTGTGTACAGGCTCTGCTGTGGGTGTCACTGCAGTAAATAACCTGAATCTCCCAGGGAAGTCACACCATTAGGTGTGTCAGGGTGATGTGTGCCTAAAGATGGTGGCTTAAGGGATTTGCAGAGGAAGGTTGTGTTGGAGCACACCGGTCCCCAGGAGTCTGTCTGAAAACAATAGAATGCTTTAGAATTCTGCTTTTCCTCTTGTGGAGGCTGGAGGCGAGAGGCAGGCAGGCCCAAGCTGTGGCAGGGACAGGGTTGCAAAGGCATTACATAAAAATAAATAAATAGGAGGCTGGAGGGATGGCTCAGCTGTTAAGAGCACTGACTGCTCTTACAGAGGACCCGGGTTCAATTTCCAGCACCCACATGGCAGCTACGAACCGTCCTTAACTCCAGTTCCAGAGGAACCTGAAGTCCTCTTCTGACGTCCGTGGCATTGCATGACATGGGTGCATTCATACATACAGGCAATACACTTGTACACATAAAATAAAAATAATAAAATATAAAAAAATCATAAATATATGAAAAAGAATCTAAACCAGATTTCTCTGTGGCATTGGGCAGTCTAAATAGGGGTGGGTCTGTGTATCCTTAGGGACCCAGTCTCTGTCTTTCTGTTGACTTATCCTTAGTGTGACGTGTCTAGCTTCAGGTCCCTTCATGAACTGACATGGCTTCAAAAGTTCCAGCCATACATACATGCTCTGAGAAGGATGAGGAGGAGTAGAAAGGGTACACTTCCAGATAGAGTCCGTCCCAAAGGCTTCACCCAGTCACCAGAACTGCAAGGGCCCCTGGGAAATGCTTTCAGCTGAGTTAAACACGATTGATTGAAGTTTGCTTGAAAGGGTGGGGCATGGTGGGCAGGGCTGGGATTAATTTGTAGTTATTTTCACAGAGGGACATTTATTTATTTATTTATTTATTTAAGAAAATTAGCATTAGGCCTACCCTGCTCCAAGCTTGGGACATGGAAGCAGGCCACACAGGCAGGCAGAGGCAATTAGAGGTTAATTCTCCCCCCATTTACCAGATGGTCCCTAGAGCTTGCCCGAGGCTGTACCCAGGGACCCTGTGTGAGTCACAGGCATGCAGGCTGTGGAAAAATCAGATGGGCTCTGAGGGCTAAGTGCTGCTGCTGCTTCTCTCCCTCAGCAATGCTGTGACTGCTGTGGCTTGGGACTGCGTGTACGGGCTGAGGGCCAGTCGTGTGAGTCCAACCCCAACCTGGGCTATCCCTGCAACCACGTCATGCTCTCCTGCTGTGAGGGTGAAGACCCTCTCATTGTGCCTGAGGTCCACCGGCTACCAGAGCCCGAGGCTGCCCCTCGAAGAGGTGGGTGCTTCACTCCCAGGAGGGGGCATTGGGTGACAATGGTTGGGGCTCCAAGCAAAGTCTGGGTGGTCTCAGGCTGCAGCATAGACTCTGGTCCATCACTGCCTATGGCTTGAAGTTTGAGCTGTGTTCTACACAGGGTTCTGTGACTGCTGATGACTTCCCTGTTCATGCTGACATGGCAGGCTCCTGAAGTTCTCCCTTCCACTCAGTAATCACCTTGACCTTGGGGCTGTAGTTCACACTTAACACCCCTCTTGAAACCTGCCCTTCCATCATTCCCTCACCACCTGCCTGCTCTGGCTACCTCCACATCCTTCTACTGCCTCCCTGTCCACTCACCATTCAGATCACCCATCATCTCCGTCCTGTCATCTCTCATCAGCCCATCATCTGGCTAGCCATCATCTTTACTCATTCTTTGAGGGGTCGCCCCCTCTCCTCGTGGATTGTTGGCCACCGGTCCACGAGGACAAAGGGAGCGGGAGTGACGAGTGGGGTCAGGACAGCCAGTGAGCACTGATGGAAGAAAGCCCTTCTGGGGAGGCAGGTTCAACGATGCAAACAGCTCCAGACTCAGTGAAACAGCTCCAGACTCAGTGAAACAGCTCTAGATTCAGTGAAACAGCTCCGTTTATTTAGTGGGAGAACTAGGGAAAATATAGTGTGGATGCAGTAGCCAATGCCTCAGCTGATAGGTGCTCATAGTATGCTTTATTTACATGTGGCAATGGGCTCCTATCGTCCGACTACCAGGCAATGCCTGATTATCATATAGAAAAAACCTGGGGGTAGTTTTTACTCCAGGTAACTATGCCAAAGGTCATGTTCCAAATAAGGTCAGGCATCCGTGCTTGGCAGAACTTTCCAGGTAAGTCAGGAAGAGAGCAGGAGGCCCCCTGCTGAGAAGGGGAGTCCTTCCACATGGCACCGAGCCCCTTAGAGCTATCCGAACATGGAGGACTACAACCCTAACAGCAGGGTTCTCCAACAATCCTTGTGCTTTTCTATTCATGTATTCTTCCACTCCTCATTCATCTCCTATTCTATCCACCATTCACCCCTCCCACCCATTCACCAGTTCTCCCACCTACCCAGCCACCCATCCATTCATCCATTCACCTGCCCCATCCATCCCACTTTCCTCCTCATTCACTCACCTGTCTGCTCATCTGGGAAGCTGGTTGAAGATTGATGTGAAGAACAGGTTATTACTCAGAGAGTGATTCAAGGTATTCAGGAGGAATTCCAGCACCAGGGGTCAGAACAGGACAGGAGAGGACCTGGCGGCCCATCCATCTACCCACCTACCTACCCACAGCAACATCATACTTCCTCCTGTGAGGAGCATCTGGTAATCTGAATCCTAGAGATACAGGCAGTGGGAAGACTGGTTTGGCTCCAAGTCCTATTGAAATGGCCTTGGGTAAATCTTCCCCATTTCTCTTCTGCTGGAAGGATGGTCAGGAAGGGCATGCCAATGACAGTGAGCTGGGGATGACCTTTGGAGGTGCATGCTGGTATACTCAGGGAGCCTCAGGACCAGGTCTGCCTCTGCCCACCTGCAGTGCTGGATCTCCTGGGAAGATCTGTGAGCAGTAGGTCAGGGATCTTCAGGCTGTGGCTTAATGCAAAATCCTTTACATGAAACATGTTCTTTGGCTGTGACTTCATGCAGCTGTTCTATTCTCTGGCTCTGCTGCTCATGACTGAGGAAAAGGCTGAGGCATAAGGTCGGCACAGAACTTGGAGGGGCTGCAGGCCTTCCCTGCAACTACCCTGCACAAGCAGCCTATCTTTCACTCGCCTAGTGGCCCCTGCAGAGCAGGTGGGTGGAAGTGCAGAGGGACCTAGCAGGTGCACCGCTAAGGAAGCTGCAGTCAGAATCCACATCCTGATCTGTCACAATCCAGGCCAGTGGCCTTCTATTGCTAGGGGACATCTCTCTAATGTCATGAGGTCAGGGGCCTGAGTCCAGTTCAGCACTTGAGCAAAAGCCTCCATGAAGGTGTGGTCCCGATTTCTTGAAGGGGACCAAGGTGATGATGAAGACTTAGACCCAGCTTCTGTGGGTTTAGTCTTGGTATTGAAGGTCTGTCCATCCATCCATCCATCCATCCATCCATCCATCCATCCATCCACCCACCCATCCACCCACTCACCCATCCACCTGTACATCTGGGAATCCATTTATCTATCTGCCCCTCCCTCCTTCCTTTCATTCTCCATCCTTACCATCTGCTCACTCTCAACTGCTTTCCTGGGTCCTGTGAGCCCAGCCATCTGCTTTGTCCAAGCTGGCTGTGTTCCAAGTGCTGACCAACCACCCCAGTTTCAGAGGTGGAGATGGCGAGCCCAGAGGCCTTGTCTCTGAGCACAGAGGCTGAACTGCCCAACAGCCTACCGGGAGATGACCAGGATGAGTGCCTGTTGCTCCCGGGAGAGCTGTGCCAGCACCTGTGCATCAACACCGTGGGCTCCTACCGCTGCGCCTGCTTTCCCGGTTTTGTGCTGCAGGATGATGGTCGTACCTGCCGCCCAGGTGAGCTGCAGCCTCTTGTTAATGGAAGGTGGCCTTCCTGGGCTACTTCACTTCAGTTGATGGTAGGAGGGGCCAGAGGCTGGCTCCTAGCTCTGGGGATTCAGGCAGCTACCTGGAGCTCCCTCTACAGGCCATCCTGGAGCCAGGTCTCCAGGGCCCTCCCCAGCCCCTAGCTGTCTCATGCTGAAGGGCCTTCTTCCTGCCAGCTGTGCAGGGTGGAGCCATTTTTAGCCCAGGGTTCCTACCCACCCCCTGCCATTTTTCCTTGCCTGCTTCCCTCTCTTGCTCTTTGCCCTAGTAGTTGTGAGATGGCTCATTCCCAAGGTATGTCTGTACCCTGAGCCTCAGTTTCCTTCCTTGTGAATGGACAGTGGTGTGGTGTCAGTGAGGCCATCAGTCAGTGCCTGATGTGGTGCTTGTGAGTGCCCAAGGCCTGACAGAAGATATGAGCCCACTCCCTGCCACCTGCTCTTCTGGCTCTTTGATAGATGGAGATGTCCCACAGCCGGACATCGCACGGGAGTCAGCACCAAGGCCTGAATCTGCCCAGGTATCCCCCAACACCATCCCACTGCCTGTGCCACAGCCTAACACTTGCAAAGGTGAGTGGAGGGATGTGCCCCCTGCAGGGTCTGGGCCATGTGGAGTGGTGGGCTCTTGGTGCTGGGGGTATGCAAGCTGATCCATGCCATGGGTTGACTTTGTTTTGGGGAGGGGGTGGAACTCACCTGCCTGAGGATGAGTGAGGAGTTGAAGAAGTGACATCTGTTAATCCTTGAGTCCCTTTGTAACCCGAGGCAAATGGGTTTCCTGCTTTCTGTCTCATTCCTATAAAATCGAGTCTTCATTAAGGAAGGTTAGAAAATTCTACCGTTATTCTTCTCCCCATTTCCTTCCCACTTCCTCTCTGCTTTTGACTTCTTCCTCACTGTCTGCCCTGGCACTTGAGGAATGAGTCAAGATCTGAGTGGTAGGGAATGGAGACCCAAACCATTGTCCCTGATGCCAGTCAGTACTGGAGTTACTTGCCCTGTAAAAAGGCACAGGCACGGGGCTTTGTCTCTGTGTCTCTGCCTCCCTGGGCCTATGATGGAAGCCTCAACCCATATCTCAGAGCTGGTGTCTTGTCTTGAGGCTAGGGCTGAGCCCCGTGGCCAGAGCTGAGGCCTCTGTATTCTGACTCCAAGAACTTTCCTCAGACAACGGGCCCTGCCGCCAGGTGTGCCGCATCGTTGGGGGTGCGGCCATGTGCTCCTGCTTCCCTGGCTACGCTATCATGGCGGATGGCATGTCCTGTGAAGGTAAGTACCTTGGGACCACCCTCCTACCTGTGTAGATGTGGTTGGCCTGTAGTAGGGGCTCAGGGTGGTGGTGACCAGGACCTCATGTTCATGTTGACTGATGTGACACTCCTGGCAGAGCAGCTTAGGTGGTTCCCTCTGGTGTCACTGAGCCCTTGCGGTGGGCCACTATGCTTCTGTAGCAGTCCACGCTGCAATTTCCTAGGACAGTGCTTCTCAGGCTTGAACATGTACCCAAGTCACCTGGAGGCCCTCTGAACTTGGACACAGATTCCCAGGAACCCCACAGGCTCCCCAGAAAGCCTGATTAGGGGGCCTGTGTGGGTCTGAAAACAAGGACCCATATCAGGCATGGGCCACCCCCAACTCACTGTTCCCCTGAGGACTGGCCTGGTCTATGTGTCTCAACTTGTGTTATAACCTCTGTGTTTATCCATGTTCTGGCCCTGCATAGAGAAAGAGAGATGGGAGCGATGTCCAGAAATGCCTCGTCCCTCTTACTTGCCTTCAGTGGGGAGAAAGGCCCCAGCCAAGGAAGGAGAGTTGACATTGTTGACAGTGAGCTTCCTTTGCCAGTCCTAATCACACCAAGAGGGTCAAAAAGCCCCTTACCCTAGTCACCAGAGTAGATAAGTTCGTGTCTCTGTGGAGTCACTGTGGACTAGGACCTTCTTACTGTATAATGGGGACGTTGGATCTAGTACCTGCTGTGTTGGCTCCCCCAGTGAGTGATGTCTGAACTTCTCAGGTGAGAGGTCCCAAGACTTCACCCCCTCCTGTCTGGAGTTAGGACAGAGAGCTGCAGAGTCCAGGATGTGTATGGGTTCAGGTTCAGGTTCAGGAAGTGCCGAGGCAGGTGCAGAGCAGAGTCTGTGTCTGTGGATAATGGTCTAGCCTGTCTAGGAGGATGCCTGTTTTTCTCCCAGAAGCTCAGATCTCATGTTCAGTCCTTGATGTGAGCCAACCCCTACTATGAGTCCAGAGAGGACAGCAACAGACTTGCTCAAGGCACACTGCATGGTGGTAACTGACTAGCCTTTCTCTCATGGTGAGGGGCAGGGCATGCCTGGGGGACACTGTGTCCTCTAGGCTCTACTTCCCAGGGTCCTAGGGACTGAGGAACCTTCAGAATTTTTAGTTCAGAACTCCTTAGGTCCAACCCCCATGAGGGATCTGGTTCAAGGGCCCAGCCCAGCTTTTCCTCTGCTGGCTATGTGGCCTGTCTGGTGTCTGCCTTCTCCCCAGGAGCTCCCTGGCAGGGAGAGCTGAGGGATCCAAGTCAGAGATGTAAAGGAGCATTTGTGAGGGTGTGCACAGCTGCCTAGGAGAAGTCCTGCCTCAATCTTTTTGTCAGGAATAATCATATGAATTCCCTGCTAGGACAGCTGGAGAATTTTAAAAACATTTCCAGATTTGGGGTTTGTCTTGAAACTTCATAGCCTTGCCCACAGAGACCCACACCCCAGCCCCTTTTGCACAGCCCTCAGCCCAGCACTACATCCATAGCCCTCTACCCCTCCTGTGTATGCTGCTGGCCTGGACCCCAGGGCCCTTGAGCCTGCAGCCCCTTTTGTTGTGTGGGTTCCTTGGCTGCTACAGATGTGGACATTGCAGAGCACGGGCTGGAAGCAGCCTTCTGCCCGCTGTGTGATTATGGGCTGTCTGTCTGCCCTCACTTAGTCTACTCTGTCCTTACCAGGCAGTGGGACTCAGTGTCAAAATCTTTGAGCTTTACAAACTCAACTTTGGTTCAGGGCCCTGCCCTCTACTCATAGGTATGGAAGTCCCTTCTCCCTCTGTCCCTGGGTGTTTCTGGCAGCCAGGCCTTTCTAACAGCCCTTCTGTTTTTTCCTTCTGTGGCTGTTATTAGACCAAGACGAGTGCCTGATGGGTACTCATGATTGTAGCCGGCGACAGTTCTGTGTGAACACCCTGGGATCCTTCTACTGTGTCAACCACACAGTGCTGTGTGCAGAGGGCTTTATCCTCAATGCACACAGGAAATGCGTGGGTAAGCCAGAGCCCCTGCCTGCCACCCATGTCACGGCTCTCTGCTCTGCTCCACGCCAACTCTCCATGTTATGCCACATGCTAAAGGGCCTGCCCTTTGCATGTGAGCTCCCACATAGCGACCCGCTGTGCTCTGTGTCCTGGTGTCTTGTCCCGCTTGTTCTTGGTGGCTCTTTTCTCAGACATGCCTGTGCCTGTGACTCAGAAAGGGAAAAGGCCAGTTCCCTGACAGGTCAGGGATGAGGAGGCAGACATGAGCATGCAGGGTATGGAGGCAAGGATGTCTGGGCTTGAACCAGGACTCGCGTCCCCCCCTTCCTGCCCCGTGGCTCTGGGCCTTGACTTTTCTCAGCTGCTGTCTCTTGTCTATAAGGGGAAGCTGTTGATACCTGTGAGAACTGTTGGACATGTGCGATGTAGCACCTTGTCTGGGCCATGTAGACTATTATTTCAGCCACTTAGATTGTTCTTAGATGTATCTAGAATCTCCTGAGAGGTTGTAGCTTGTGCTGGGTGCAGCTGACTCTGCTTGGCACCTGCCTCAGCATCCACTTGTGTGACCCTGAGAAGTGGAGCTCTCCGCCTTGAGCATTTACAAAAGGATGGGGAGGAGCGGGTCCCATGCCAGCCCCCATGCCAGCTTGCGTGGCTGGGCCCAGCGCTGGGAGCAGCTCTTCCTCTCTGTGCCCATGCAGGTTGGGGCTAGGAATCTGGGGTGCTCTGTGGGCTCCATGCTTTCTCATGTCTGAATAATCTGTTATTCTCACTGAGGAAACAGAAGCTTGGTCTTCCTGTATCTCAGAGGTAGACTCAAGTGTAGCAGGGAACTTAGGCAGACTGGTCAATTCTACAGCAGGGCCTTGGCAGAGGGAGACATCACTCCTGCCTGTGGCACCTGAAGGAGGAATCTGCACCTGTCTCCAAGGGTGGGCAGGACTTAGAAGTAGTGGGAGATACAGCCAAGGCAAAGGCATAGAGGTAGAAACTAGGCAGTGTACTTAGGGCATGTCGCCAGACTCCTGTCCGACTTTCCTGTGCTTGGAGACTGTGTCTGAACTGGACATGTCCTCTTCTTTCCACTGCTGGGCAGCCAGGCCAAAGTGCTGGTAGACATGTTTGCCTGGCTTCAGCCTCGGGCACAGCATGGCCCTTGTGACGTGCTTGCCAGTGGCAGCAGCTCTTCCTGGGTGGGTTGGGTCTGTGTGTGTCTGTGGGGAGGCATGCAAACCCCTTTCCAGGACACTGTCCCCGCCCTGCCCTGCCCTGCCCTAGCAGCCACGCCCTAACCTAGCAGCCACATCCTGGCCTGGCAGCTAAGACTTGTGCTCAAGATGGGTCGGAGGATGAGAATGCAAAGGTACACCCCATTCAGCAAGATTTATGAGCACGTTCTAAGTGTTTCTTTCCTCCTTATTCTGCACAATCTATCAGCCCAGTCTCCTCCTGTCCCACCCAAGCATCACTTTGGGGTTCTTCAGTTTCCCACCTGTTCTATACAGGTGCAGTAACCCAGGCAGGGGAGGGACAGGATCATACTAGGATATAGCGTGGCCTAACCCAAGTCAGCTCATTTCCCCTGAGCCTGTTTCCTTGTCCGTGAATGGGATAGATGAAAACACCTGCCTCTGAAGGTCACTGTGGAGGTCATCCACATGAGGAGCTCTGCCAGCATTCCTGTGCCACTGAGGCGAGGTGGTGAGTCCCTGTCATCAGAGACACGGGAATTGGCAACAGCACTGGGCTGCAGGGAGCTGAGAGGAAGCAACCTCAGCTCTACAGCTTCCCTGTTGTAGCTGCAGCAGGGAGTGAGTGATGGGGGAAAGGGAACAGCTCAGGACATGCACCCAGGCTTCCATCATTGCTGGTGGTGTGACTCAGTCCAGTGACATCCCTCCTGGGAGAGCTGTTTTCCCATCTGTGAAGTGGAGCTGTCCACTCTTGCATCACAGGACAGTGGGCCTGCTGGGTTCCTGTAAATCCCTGAACCTTGGTGAACCTCAGTGAATGGTGGATGCTATCATTCAATACTGTGCCACCTCCCAAGCTATGGGAGACTCCTGGGGTTCTGCCACGCTGGGGTCTTGGGTACTTTCCTCCCTGTGCCAATCCAGTCAGAAGTCTTTGTGGTGTTTGGCCACTTCTCCTTGGGAAACCACTGACCCAGAACGGTCCCTCTCCTGATGCCTGCCCTCAGCAGCTCCACATGGGAGGGTCTCTTCCCCTGCCCCTACTTTTCCACCTGGTCTCCTAATCATCCTTTTAGGTTCAGCTTCCACACTGCCACTTTATGAGGCAGCTGGCATTGCAGGTCCAAGGCAGGCAAACCTTTGGTCTGAGCCCTAGAGACAGTATACCTCTTCACCCATGTCTCCATCTGCCTGTCCTAATCCTACAGATTAGGTCGGGCTGTGCTGACCCACTGTGTGACCACAGGAACATGGCACAGAATAGGTGCTGGTCAGTGTGTCACTGAGCAAGTAGGCTGTGCCTGGTGCTCTCACTTGCCAGGTGCAGCCCAGAGAGGCAGGTCTGGGTCCAGCCACTGGGATCCTTAGCCCTGACTTGGAGGCAATTTTGTGTCAGTGACCTCTACTTCCCTTTGCCTCATTCTCTGTCCCTCTTTCCCAGCTGCTCATCCCTAAGTGTCTGCCCTCAGTCTCTTCTCCAGATGTCTTCTCCCAGAATTCATCTCTGCCTCCTGACCACTTCCAGCCAGCATCTTCCCCTGGGCTCCTTAAGTGAACCTGGAGGTAGATTTTTGCTGTCTCCTGGCCTCCATGGTCTCCAGGACCTTCCCCTGCACACCTGCCCCTGCCACCTGCCCCATCCCAGGTACCAGTACCTGTCTAGCTGTTCAGCCCAAAGCTTGCAGGTCTGGTTCTTTCAGACCATCTGCCTCTGCCATCAGCAGTTCTGCCCTATCCCACCTCCGTGCCCAATGGTACCGCTCACCATTTCCTCTGGATAATTTACCCCTAATCTGTTCTCCAGCCAGGGCACCCTCCCCCCAATACTGGGAACCCTCTATGACTCCCAACGTCCCCCTGGCCTAACCTCATCTGTTCGTTCTTTTCTCTCTCCCCTACAGCCACACCTGCCTCTGTGCTGGCCCCAGAACCTGCTGGGCTTGTCACATAACTATCCCTTCTGCCTGGACTCTTCAAATTCTTCCTTGGATGTCCTCTTCTGACAGTGCTCCCCACTCCTGCCCTAAACTTGCTTGTCCTGCCTGTACCTCAGCACTCTCTCTGGCCTGCTGTGGTCTCCATAGCCTCGGTGAGCAATCTCATTGCCTCATTCTGTTTCTAAACATCTGCTCCAAGGGCAGGCATGTCTTCTTCACTGTCCCTCTTGCCAAGAACTCTGCTTGGCACATAGCAGGGTGTGATAAATCTTTGTTGAATGAAAGGATACTTGGTTAAGGGGACTTCAACTGTCTGCTTCTCCTTGGATGGTGAGTACTTGAGAGCAGAGCCTGGCACTCTCTAGCTCCTGGTGCCTAGGTGCCTGGTTGTGCTAGACCTCTGTACTGGAAGCATCCTGCAGACCCTGACGGCTACCTCCCTCTCCACACAGACATCAACGAGTGCGTGACAGATCTGCACACGTGTGCCCGGGCTGAACACTGTGTGAACACAGTGGGTTCCTTTCACTGCTACAAGGCACTCACCTGTGAGCCTGGCTATGCCCTCACAGATGGGGAGTGCTCAGGTGAGAAAAGGCCGAGGCCCCATCCCAGTTCTACCCCAGGCAGGACACACCACAGGGCTGCTTCTGCCCTTGCCCTTTCTGGAGCTTTCTTACTTCCCCCAAGTTCCCATATTTAGCTTTCTTGCCCTTGGGATGGGAGTGTTTGGGGCAAAGGTAGGGGAGTCTGAGGTTGGGGGGAGCATTTGGGGCAAGGCCAACATCTCCCTCTGGCTTTCCTACCACCTGATGGTGTCTCCGCCAGTTATTCCCCCTGCTGTGCCTTAGTTCCCCCATTTGCTCTCTGAGGTGGAGCCCCATGGAAAAATCATTTCTCTTTCGCTGGGAAGTTCTAGTTTTCTAAGAAGAGAGGGAAGTTTTAAAATATTTTAGCAAGTATTTCCCAGCTTCCTTTAGTGCCAGGCAGGGTCCTAGGTACCAGCAGCACTAGTGTGTAGTGTTCTTTTTATGACCTCATGGCAGGGGACATGGGGAATATGAGAGCTGGCAGTGTGACCGTGGGAGGTGGGAGGGCGTGTCTCTATTTGGGGGTCTAGGGTCTAGGGAAGTGAGAATTTAGTTGAGACATGGATGATGGCAGCCTACCAGGAAGGGTGTTCTGGGTAGAGGGAATAGAAGAGGCCCAAGGCATGTGGAAGAAGATCATAGCATATACCGTAGGCAGAAGCCTCTGCGCCAGTGACACCTCCCTGTATCTTGGGATACAGACTCTCCCCCACGTTTCTGTGTGTCTCCACAAGTGTGTGGTGGTAAGTGATAGGAAGCCAGACTACCCGATTCTGTATCTGTGGAAGCTTGGCTGTGCCTCAGTTTCCCCCTTGATAAGAAGGACTAGTCATAGGAGCCACTTCTTGGGTTGCTCTGAGGAGCTTAGGACATGTGGTTGTATCCTTATTACTCCTGGACATGGACCTTGCCAGTGACTTGGCTCTGGCAGGCCTTTATGACTGCCATGATTGCAAGTATGGAGGGATTGCTGGAGGTGAGGGATGGAGCTTGCCCACCTGCCCATTGCTGATGCCCAGTCTCTGTGTGGCAGATGTGGACGAGTGTGTGACAGGCACGCACAACTGCCAGCCAGGCTTCTCCTGCCAAAACACCAAGGGCTCCTTCTACTGCCAGGCTCGACAGCGCTGCATGGATGGCTTCCTGCAGGACCCTGAGGGCAACTGCGTGGGTGAGTGGGCTGTGGGCTATGTTTGTCTAGGTGTGGCTCATGGGGACCTAGCTCATCGCACTCTCCCCCAGGTCTTGGGGTCTCCATCTGGGGAGGATGGAACAAGTGCAGGATGGTAGCTGCTCTGCTCGCCCTGAGCTGTCTGGCCTTGGAGTTGTTTCTCCCAGGACCCACTTGTGAGATTGGGCTGGCTGGAAGAATGCTCATCACTTTTTGACCCAGCTGACAAGAAAGCTATCTAATACAAATTTCACATAACAGTACATGACTGTGCTGAAACTCATAGAAACATTTGTCTTCAAAGAAGGTTAATGATTCCTTCTAGAAGCCAGTGCTGTGCTAGAGTTGAGCCATTGAGTTTGACTGATATTGGTCAAATTGTCCCAAGAGAGTTTGAGAGCTCACTTACCTGCTTCCAAACAGACAGAACACTCCATATTTCCAGAACTGCTGGCTAGTTCCCACCAGACTGCATGTGGAGGAGGGGTAATCAAGGCCACACTCAACCCAGGGGATGAATAGTGCTGAGGGAGAGGCAGAGGGCCAGTATTGTGCAGGAGCAGGGACTGGTCAGGCCACAGTATTACCTCAGACTGTTCATGTGATAGTAGTAACTTGTCATGGGGAGACCAAGATGTGGGGTGGGAGTATCTGCCTATCTGAAGCTTTCTCAAGATTCTGGGGTTCCCTCAGCCTGCCTGGGAGCTGGAACCCTCCCTTTGCCTTTAATATCTCCCACCAGCATGCAGGGAATCCTCATAACCCTTTGGGCCCTGGGATTCCTCCAGGCTGGAGTCAGTAAGGGAGGGTGTTCTGTATCCAGATGGCTCCTTGGTGGTTTGTTGTGGACAATGTTTCCTGACCTACTGTGTGCCAGGGTTCTAGATGGGTGCAGTTATAGTGTCTGCCGACCCATTTAGAGGGGAGGAAACCAAATAGACAGCTTTGTTCATAAAAGCACCAGTAATTCATGTGTACTTTGATAAATAGCTAACAAATCAGAGTTGGTATTAAAGGAGACTCCTTTACCCACACTGATCTCGGAGGGCCTTCTTTATGTAACAATGGCCAGGGACTTGAGGAAGTAAGCAAGCCAGCCCTGGCAACATGAGGGGCAGTGTGTGTTGGGCAAGCAGGGCTGTGCCTGAGCACTGTAAAGTGGCAAGGAGGCCAGTGGGGCTGAGTGTGTGTGTGAGGGAAATCTGGGGAATGAGGTGGGGCAGCTAGCAGGCTCCTGTATTCTCTGTAGGATGGGCACTATTGGAAATTCAAGAGCAGAGCGTGCTGTGCTAGCTACCATCGCTTACTTAGACTTCCCCACTGCTTTAGCTGCTCTACTGCGGCAGTTGTGGCATTCTGGAGGTGCACCTCTCAGGTCCTATGGTTCAGGAGTGGGATAATCTAGACCTAAAGTCCTGTGCAGGGCTGGCCTAGAACCCAGAGCTGGCCAGATGCTACAACCTAGGAGGACTGTGCCAGGCTCTCAATCACCCATCCCCTCTGCAGACATTAATGAGTGCACATCGCTGCTGGAGCCCTGCCGCCCTGGCTTCAGCTGCATCAACACAGTGGGCTCCTACATGTGCCAGAGGGACCCACTGGTCTGTGGGCGCGGCTACCACGCCAATGAGGATGGCTCTGAATGTGTGGGTAAGGCTAGTGCTTCCCTGCGCTCACCCAGCCTCCCCGTTCAGCTCCCTGCCCAGGAAGTCCTACAAAGGGACCTTCCAGACCTCACGGTGTCTTTCTTGTCCACCCCACAGATGTGAATGAGTGTGAGACAGGTGTGCATCGCTGTGGTGAGGGCCAAGTGTGCCACAACCTCCCTGGCTCCTACCGTTGTGACTGCAAGGCTGGCTTCCAGCGAGATGCCTTTGGCAGGACCTGCATCGGTAGGGGACACTGGGGGCCAGGATCTCCAGGCAACAAAGAGCCTGCCCTTTTATTTCCCTTCAGCTCCCCGCCCCTTCCCCTCCTGGAAGCCAACCGTCAAGCTACCCATCTCCTCTTGGCTTCCGGGTCACCTTCCTGCTGCCTGCCCACTCTGTGCCCACTGCCCTCTGTCTCCCCTGCAGATGTGAATGAGTGCTGGGCCTCACCAGGCCGCCTGTGCCAGCACACGTGTGAGAATACTCTGGGCTCCTACCGCTGCTCCTGTGCCTCCGGCTTCCTGCTTGCTGCAGACGGCAAGCACTGTGAAGGTAGTGCCTGCCCTGAGCTCTGACCCCTGACCCCGGCCCTGGCCTCTGACCCCTTACATCTGGCTTCCTCTTGGACAGGCAGCCTCTGACAGGCCTGGATGCCCATCATGATCATGGAGTTTGCTGTTAAGATGGCATGGGGTAACCTCAAGGTTCCTGTGAGGAGGGCAGCAGCCACACAGCCTGCAAGCACTTGGGTCTAGGGCAGTCTAATTTTTCTGGCTTTCCAGAAGCCAAGACTTTCAGTACTTATGTACAGTCAGCTAAACCAAGTGTGTGCACAGGCTGTGGCTGTTGTCCATGTCCTTTTGGGTACAGTGCACCTGTGGCTGAGGGTAGGGTCATCACACTGTTCCCGCAGGTCCCCTCCCTGGGTGCATCTGACTCCGGCCTGGTGGTGACACATGTACAAGGAAGCCACAAGGCAACTCAGTAAGAGGCCCAGCCCAAGCCAAGGGGAGATGGGGTCTCTGGCCCCATTTTTCTAGCACTGTTTTTCTCAGTTTCTTCCACATGAGATAAATCTGCTGTGACTTCTGCAGGACTGTGGTCCCTTCCCAGTCACCTGGTCCTCCTGTGTGTGGCTTGGCCTGGCTGTGGCAGGATATTAGGAACAGTTATCCTTACTTACCCACTAGCATCATCACACTGGGGAATACCTCATATCAGGCTAGGTGCAGGCAGCTTGGTGTAGACGGGGCCTCTGCCTTCCCAACCTTCTGTATAGGTACATATCATTCATTCACCTTTCAGAGCTCCTGCTGGCTATGTGTTGGAGGCTCTACCACCCAGAAGCTCAGTCCAGCAGAGCAGACATGTATTCATACACATTCATACACAGGTTATCTTTTGTGACTGATGGAGGTCTGAGAATTAGACACAGTCAGGCATGATCTGTTTCCCCTTACTCTCACCTCAATCCTTCTGTCCCAGCCACCTTCACTTCCTTGATATTCCTTAAAAACACTAGGCATGGGACTGGAGAGATGGCTTAGTGGTTAAAAGCATTGACTGTTCTTGCAGAGGACCCAAGTTTGGTTCCAGGCACCAACATGGCAGCTCACAGCCGTCTGTAATATGAGTTCCAGGGGATCTGGTGGCCTCTACTGGCCTTTGTGGCATGCAAGTAGTGCACTTCATGCAGGCAAAACAGTCATACACATTAAAAAAAACGCCACAAACCTCTGTACACTCCCACCACAGGGCCTTTGCATAGCTGTGCTGTCTACCTTCAAAGCTATGTATGTCTTCCCTGATTACTTTATGCAAAACTGCAGCCCACCTTAGGATTTCTGGAAGACACTCCTGCCCTTTGCTTCTTTGCAGATAGCTTCTGTGCCACCTGCCACATTTAAGCAGGATAATTGTCTTGCCTATTTATCACTCCCTCTCCTCCTTCTCCACAAGCATGTTAGCTCCACCAGGAGGAGATTTGGTGTAGCTTGTTCATGCCGTTTCCCTATATACAGCACAGACTTGGAACAATCTGGTCTGCAACAGCTTAGTCTGTAGAAGTTCCATGGAAGCTGTGAACTACCTGTGATTCACTGTACCCTCATCCATCACCCTCCACACTACCTCCTGCTAGCACTTAGGTAACACCTTCAAGAGCCATCTGTTGCAGGGCTGTGGGTCCTCAGCAGGGCACTATCAGCAGCTCAGGCGACCCTGAGCTGACCTGTGACTTTGTCTTGGGGCAGTAGACTCAGTCCTGTCAGACTGAATGTCCCTTCAAAGGGTAACTGAAAGGAATGTCTCTTCAGTCAAGGCTGTTGGTGAACCGGCTCAGCCCTCTGTCTAGGTTGGGAGGTCCCACCCTGACCTTGGCCATGTCTTCACAGACGTGAACGAGTGTGAGGCCCGGCGCTGCAGCCAGGAGTGTGCCAACATCTATGGTTCCTACCAGTGCTACTGCCGCCAGGGTTACCAGCTGGCAGAGGATGGGCACACCTGCACAGGTGGGCACCTCTCCTCTCCTGGGTCCTTTGTAGAGAGGCACCCCTTCTCTACATGCCAGGCTACCAGAAGCTTTAGTGTCAGGTGTGAGTTTAGGTGTTCTAGCCCATTTTCCTGCTTTGGGACTTTGGGCCTCTTCCCTATGATGTCAGGCTCCTCCTCTATAAAATGAGATGTTGGCCTTGATTTCAGTGTGGTCACATGTGAGACCCCCCCGCCCCCCCAGGTAGGGCTGGCACCTGATTGGCCCTTGGCAGGTGAGCTGTTGTTAGTAGCTCAGGGCCATGTGGGTATGCATTCCAGTGCTGACTCCCATCTGCCACGTGGCTTTGAGCTTTCATCTTTTGAGCCTTCTGAGTCCCCCATCTTGTCCCCTATAAATGGGCCCCAGGCTCCCTGACTGTACCAGGGACAGCTGGGCCTGTGGGTGGACAAGGATCACTGGCCAACCCTCTCCTCTTCAGACATTGATGAGTGTGCACGGGGCGCTGGCATTCTCTGCACCTTCCGCTGTGTCAACGTGCTAGGGAGCTACCAGTGTGCATGTCCGGAGCAGGGCTACACCATGATGGCTAATGGGAGAGCCTGCAAGGGTGAGTGACAGCCTTCACCCCACCAGGCCTTGGGCAGCTCTGTGCAGACACCAGGTACCATGAACCTCATGCCTCATGCTTTGGAGCACAACAACAAGCACATAAGCTCAGGACGGCCCAGCTGTCAGAGCCTCTGTCCAGGCCTGGGATGAGGAAGGCTTCCTGCCACCCAAGCCAGTGCAGATTCTTCCATGTTTGGCTTCGGCTGGGCACCCTGCCCTTGGAGGGAGACTATGGGGCATTGTGAGGGAATGGGGGACCTATCCAGTGGGGGTACAAGGATCCCAGCTGATTCCCATGTTTCTGCAGTATTGCCCAGATGGGAGCAGGAAGGCATGTGGGCCAGAGGGCAGGGCAGAGGGAAGGGGTCATAGGGGCCCTACCACCTGCCTGGTGTAGGTTGATGGTCCCTCGTCAGAGCTGTACAGGGCAGGAAAGAGCAGGGGCAGGGCTCCCAACACTGAGGATGTACAAGGCCCAGCTGCAGTCTCTTACCAGATTTTACATAGTCCCTGGATGACTTTGACTGTTCCTCTCAGCTGGATCCTATTCATGACTCTAAGGTCAGTGCCATTGGCCACTAAATTCTGGGCCTGGCATGGCAGCAGGGCAAGGTGGGGACAGACTGCAGGATGACTGGAGGGGTAAACAAATGTGTGCTGATACCCTTCGGGAGAAGCTAGGGGCCCTGAGTCTGGATGGTCCTGTTCTGCTAAGAGCAGGGCTGTGGGTCCCAGTGGACAGCACTCCCTTGCCCCCTGAATGTCATGAGGGCAGAGTGCTTGAGGCATGGAAGGGCTGGTGAGCAGCTCTGCCTGCAGGTTGGTGGCTGTCACTGTTGGGAGTCAGTCCTGTGTCACACTGCATCGCAGTTTGTGGTTGGCCTTAGCACGCAGAGGAGGAACTCTTGAACTTTGTTATGAGAGCCCGAGACTACATCAGCATCAGGATTCCTGTTGTGTGTGTGGAGCCAGGGCTAGTGTGGCTCTGAGCTATGTATCAGTCAGCAGGGCTGCCCCGGGGCTCAGGCCTCCACTATGGGCTGGGGTGGTTCAGGATGCGGTCTCAGGCCATGGAGCCCTTCATACATCCCCGTCTTCCCCTCCCAGACTTGGACGAATGTGCACTGGGCACCCACAACTGCTCCGAAGCTGAGACCTGCCACAATATCCAGGGCAGCTTCCGCTGCCTGCGCTTTGACTGTCCACCAAACTACGTCCGTGTCTCGGAAACGTGAGTGCTCTGGACCCTGGTATGACCCAGGGCCTTGCCCTGCCCCTGTACTGCCCAGGCCAAGTGGCAGATATCTCCTGCCATAGCCATCTCCTATCCATCCTGAAGCACAATGAGGAGAAATAGAGAATTGTCAATGGGCTGTCACCTCAAAGGGAGTAAGAGCAAGTTTAATCTTGAAGCCAGCTATGAATGACCATAACTAGGAAGATGGGTTCAGGCTACTCCAAATACTATGTACTAAGAATTCTATAAAGATTTTTTTTTGTAATAACAGAACAAAGAGTTATAAACCAATACACTTAAAATACACTGGAAGAGAGAAGGAAGGGGAAAGGAGAAAGAAAGGAACAAACAAATGTGGAGAAAAAGTTAGCTGCTGACAAGCCCACCGTGCCCTGTGCTAGGCACCTCATTCTGCCCTCACAGCCTTCCTTTAGGAACCGATCACGGATGAGGAAGCTGAGCCCTGGAGAGATAAGTAGCTTGCTCCAGGCTACCAGGCTCCTATGGGCAGAGCTGGCATTTGAGCTCTGGTCCACTGGCCCCCGAACCCATGTCTTTACCATATCTGTGATGGGGGTCCCCCATTGAACAAGCATCCTTTCCTCCCTCACCCCCCACCGCAGGAGGTGTGAGCGCACCACATGCCAGGACATCGCCGAGTGCCAGACCTCTCCAGCTCGCATCACACACTACCAGCTCAACTTCCAGACAGGCCTGCTGGTGCCTTTCCACATCTTCCACATTGGCCCTGCACCTGCCTTTTCGGGGGACACCATCTCTCTGACCATCACTAAGGGCAACGAGGAGGGCTACTTTGCCACCCATCAGCGTAACCCCTACACAGGCGTGGTATCTCTGCAGAGGTCGGTGCTGGAGCCACGGGACTTCGCCCTGGATGTGGAGATGAAACTGTGGCGGCAGGGTTCTGTCACCACCTTCCTGGCCAAAATGTACATCTTTTTCACTGCCTTTGCCCCATGAGGCACTGCAGGAGGCAGTCTCTCTAGGTGGTGCCTGGTGCCCATGGCCACTGAGCCATTCCTGGGTGACTTTTGTATAACTCTGTAACTTAAGTCTGTTGACCTGGTCAGTCTTGGGTCACTTTCCTGGAGGGAAGGAGATGAGTCCCACACAGGCACCAGGTAGAGGTCAGGTCACCCAGTGCCCTGTAGGTGGAGGGTAGAGGCCTGACCATGTCCTGCAGACTGGAAACAGTCACCTGGATGGGACTTCTGGACTCCACAGCATGATCTGTATCCCTAGAACTGATATTCTAGTCCTGATTACACTATAATTAGTTCTTCACTTAAAAAAAAAAAAAAGAAAGCATCTGGGCATTGTGGCGCACACATTTAATCCCAGCACTGGGGAGGCAGAGGCAGGTGGATCTCTGAGAGTTTAAGGCCATCCTGGTCTACATAGCAAGTTCTAGGCCATCTGGGTTATGTAGCGAGAACTTGTCTCAAAAATTTTTTGTTGTTGTTTAAGAGTAGTACATATATGCATTGTTTAAAAAATGATCAAATAGCACAAAAGGATTATTCAATAAAGTAAAACTCCTCTTTGTCTCCTTTCTTTCATGAAACATTGATGTTCAACATCAGTACCTGAATGTCACAGGGCTCCCAGACTAGTTGATATGTCAGTTTGTTGACTGAGCCCTTTCTTCATGTCCTGCTCCAATGGCTCACAGGCCAGGGTGCAGCTCAGGGTGAGACCCATGGGGCAGCTGACTGATCCTTCTATTAAGGTTCTTGCATCTCCTCCTTCCTATACTTGTTCCCTTCTGCTGCCTCCTTCTTCCCAGATGTGGACCTCAACTGCTGGTTGGTCACCCTGGATGTCAGCCACATTCAAGCCCTGGTCCCCTGACAACAAAGGTCTGTAGTAAGGTTGGGCAGGGCTGAAAGGAGACAAAGCGTTCCCAGAGCTAGTGTGAATTCCAGCTCTGTTGGACTGGAGCCAAAGAGGTGAGTATGAGAATGTGGAACTGAGGCCCCAAGAGCAGAGGGGATGTACCCACGGTCCACAGTGAGGGTCAGGGTGGGCATTGTGGTCCAGGTCTGAGCACTCCATGGCCACATGTCTGCCCTCTGTGTCCCCTGAGATGGGGAGTGGACTGAGGATGAAGCTTAGTGGTAAGGCCCTTGGTTGGCCTGTGTCGAGCTCTGGTTCACTACTCAGCACCACAAATGGTAAACCAAATGATGTGGACTATATGTAACCACGTATTTCACACTGGTGATGTCAGTGTGGGTGTCTGTGCACGTGTGTAGGGGCTCATCAGGTCTGGCTTATGTTAGACGTATTTTCTTACTGCAAGTAGGCAGAACCCAGAGAAGTAGCCTGCTGGGGACTATGGCACATAGCCCCTGATAGCTGGGCACTCGTTCTTTAAGGCAAATTCCTAAACTACATTTTGATGTAAAATTTCCAGGTCTTAAGATATGATGATTGAAACTTTTTATAGAGCAAGCTTGAGGGCCAGCTAGATGGCTCAGTGGGTAAAGACACCTGCCGCTTTGCCTGATGACCTGTTTGATCCCCAGGACTCATATAGTGGAAAGAGAGAACTAACTCCCACAAGCTGTCCCTTGATTTCCACGTGTGTGCTGTGGCACGTGTAACACACACACATTTATATGCAGGGTCACTGCCTTTTCTCTCCCCTCCCCTGTCATGGTCCCCTCTCCCCAAGAGTGTGGCAGGAACTGCTTCCTTGCCATTGGCCCACCCCACCACATCCCGTTTCTCTGGTCTTCAGAATTCCAGAGCTAACAGTTCTGCTGTGACAACCATCTACTGGGTGGGGAGGAGCGCTGGATGGACTTCATTGACAGGCATGTTGAGGAGGGATCTCCTGGAGGTACAGGCCATGCCCTGGATGGCAGCACCAGCCCCTGTTCCCTTACAGCCTGGGTCATCCCCTCAGCTCATAGTTACTCCCCAGGGATTTTGTTTTAGGTCTCTAGGGCTCCTTTGGAGTGGTGATCCTGCTGTATCCAGCAATATTCCTGATGGGGAATGTGAGCCCCAGGTGGGCCGACCACACAGTGAGCTGCAGTCAGTCTTGAGTCTTGCTCTTGAGCAGTCTCCATGGCTTCCATCACACAGTTCTAGCTGCAGAAGCATTCCCCACACACTGGACACCCATCCCTGTCCCTGCTATATTCCAGAATAGGCAAGGCCACCACCCCACACAGAGTGGGTTCCAGTCCCTATTGTAGGGTTCCTGACTCCCATCTACCGGGCACAGCTGACTCCCCTGGCCCAGCATAACTCCTGGGGGCATCTTGGCTCCCATATAAGTGGTCCTGGTAGAGTCTGTGCTCTAGCCCCTGGCCACATCCCCACACTGTGGGTGTGGCTTTGGGTCCCCAGTTCTTCTCTGAGGACTATCTTAACGATATGTGTGAACATAGGTTCAGGGAATTCAAGTCATTCTAGGCCCCCTGGCTTGAAACTATATGCACACAAAATTTTTTCATTTATTTATTTTGGTATAACCAGGGATTGATCTAGGGCCTTGTACATGCTAAGCAAGGGTTCTATCATTAAGCTTTTTTCCCAGCCTTCTTTTCCCTTTTTATTTTCAGATAGGGTCTCACTATGTTTTGCCTAGATAAACTGAACTTTCCATTCTTCTCTCTCAGCCTCTGGAATAGCTAGGGTTAGATAGATGCCTGCATCATTAGGTCTGATTTAAAAATAATTTTTGAATGACACATATTTGTCCTATTTATGAGCTACTTCTTTTCAGTGCTGGGGATAGAGAACCCAGAGACCTGTGCATGTGACCAGTGCTATACCTCTGAGCTCCATGCCCTAGCCAGTGCATGGCACTTTGATTTGTGTGTCCATTGGGGAATGACCAGGGTCATTATATATGTATCACCATAAATATAATCTCTCTAAGTGGAATACATTCAAATACTCCTAGCTACTTTGAGGTATGTAATGATCATACTAGTTAGGCCCCACTGTGCTGTGGTATGCTGGAACTTCTCTCAAATCAGACAATCACATCGCACCCCTCCACGGACTTCTCTTCCTCCCCTCATCCTCCCCAGATCCTGCTCTCAGCTTCTGTGAGGTCAACTTTCAAGGATTTATTTATGAGAGAGATTATGTATTGCTTGTCCTCCACATTTGGGGTAAAGCAGTTGTTTGGGGCCCTTCTGTACTGGAGCAGCTGGAGCTCCATTGGCTCACCTGGCTTCTGAGAATGCTATACTGTGCTATCCATTTCATTCATTGCCTCAAGAGCCCCTTGCTGGATTGGGTCCCTTCCCCTCTCCATCTCATCTCTGGATTTGTTCACTCTAATGGTGACTTTCACTGTCCTAGCAGGCCTTTTCTCTGGGGGAGGCTCCAAGGGTAGGCGTTGCCATTCGGGGCAGCATTAGAAGTGGCCTGGGACTGGGGCTTGGCCCACACTGGTTCAGCTCCTACTAGGATCCATCCATTCTCTCCCTATGCTTTAGCAACTACAGCAATCAGAGGATTCTCACTTTCACTACTTTTCATTTCCTTCCACTCCAGAAAGCCAGACCCTTGGGAGTGGGACTTTTTTCTAAACTCCAAACTAGACTGGCAATGCTGGTCTGGGTGGTGCACACCTGTACTCTCAGCACCGGGGAGAAAAAGGCTTAGAAGGATCACAAGTTCAAGCTCATCCTCAAGTAGAATGAGTTGAAGGACAGCTTGGGTGTCACACACAAGGGAATGGGGATTAGGACCACAATTTAGGACACCATAGACCCTCCCAGGGTACCACATCACAGTTGATTCTGCCACTCTTGATTGGATCTTGGCAGTTTTGAGGACTTGGAGTGCACTGTAGGATGCCTCCTATTGGTTTGTGAGAGATCATCCTCATGATTGGACTAAGACAGTGAGGTCCGGGTAGCAAGACTGTAGGTGCATCTATCACAGGGCTGCTGATCTTGGCCATGTGCCTGAGTCTGCTAGTCAAGTTTCTCACTCTCAAGTTCTTTCTCCCTTTCCCCATTGTATTAGTTACTTTTACCTTGCTGTGATAAAATACCAAAACCAAAAGTAACTTAGAGGAGAAAAAGGTTTATTTTGGCTATGGTTGCATTGGGGATATAGTCCATCATGGTAGGAAAGGCAGGGTAATAAGAGGATGAGGCTGGCCTGGCAGGAAGCAGATCACAGGGCCTCTGTGAGGATTTCTCCAGAGAGGACCCCACACATGAGTGTATGCCATCTGCAGGTGCTGGAGCTCCGCCCTGCCCTTGAATCAGGTTACTCTGACAAAGGCAATACATAGATGCCTGTGATGTGCTTCCCAAAGTGCCAGGCTGATGGTTCACAGAGCTGACTTGCTGTTGGCCTGTGGTAGGCAGTGGGTGTGGATCCACAGCATGGGACACTTGATGTGTTTTGTCTAAGCTACTGTGCCATGCCATAAACCAGGGTTCATTCAGCAGTGGAAGGACCAGGTGGCCCATGGTTTGAACGGCATGACATTTAGAGAAGTTTCAAGCAACATGCAGTGAAATTTTTTCATACGTTTTTAGTCTTTGAGCTTTTTCTGGAACCTCCAAGCTTCCTTTTTCTCCCTTTTCTGAGTCAAGCTATTCTCTTGAGGTTCTGATTTGGTAGCTCCTGTGGCCTCTTAAGGCCTCATGGCTTCTTCCGGATGGACTGGAAACATCACAAAACTCTCTGTGCATGTGTAGAGCCCTTGGAGGTGGCCAGGATGCTCTAAGTGGAGGATCACAGAGGATCTAGGGCGCAGGACCCGCCCTTGGTTTCAGCTTGACCAGATGGAAGGCGCTCCTTCCAGCATGCAGCTCTCTGGAGCCTCTGCAAGGCAACGGCTCCTCCTGGTGGCTGAAGACAGCTTGGCAGATCTGCCAGCGACTAAGAGAGGTGGAGTTTAGCTAGGTATGGGGAAATGTATTTCTGGTGGTAGGGAGGGTTGTGAGGCCTCACTCTGTGGCCTGGTATGGCTGGAGGGAAGGGAGTAGTAGGAGCAGGGTCCAGAGATCTGTGGGGACAGATGGAGCCTAATGGGATGCTCAGTGGAGGGTGGTCCTTGAGTGGACCTGGAGTAATTTCTTGGGTAGAGCAAACAGTCCTTCCTTAAAGCATATGTCCTTGGACCTATAGTCTCCCAGGAACCAATTTCTCTACATCTGGGACCAAAGGATTCCTACATGCAAAAATCTTCCTGGCAAACAACTACCACCGAAGGCCAGGGACTTTCATGGCAGTACTGTGGGCAACACATACTGCCCAGAGAAGTGATGAGACTCGGATCCACCAAGGGCTCCCCAGCAGCCCTTCTGTGTTTCAGGCTCTGTGCTGGGGGCTCAGTAGCACCAGAATCTCATCTCACCCACCACAACCTAGTGGATGGATAGCTTTGCCCATTTCCTAGAGATGGACACCTAGGCTCAGAGAGGGTACCGGGCTTCCTAAGGTCATCTAGGGGGTCTTACTGCATGAAGCCTGCTGAAACCCATTGCTCAGGAGAATGAAAAGAAAAGCCACAGACTGGGAGAAAATAATGGCAAATGATACGGTAGATAAAGGA